CCAGGTGTGGACGAGATTCGCCCTGAGATGCTGAGAGGCTTCAGCCAATTGTTGAACCTCAGATTCAGGAGCAGCAATGCAGATTCCGTCCTGGTTGTGGAACAGTGGAGATGCTGAAGGCTCTGGACATTGTCGGACTGTCATGGCGGACATGTCTCTTCATTGTGGCGTGGGTGTTGGGTACAGTGCCTGTGGAGTGGCAGACCAGGGTGGTGGTTCCCGTTTTCAGAAAGGGGGACCAGAGAGTGTGTGCCAACTATCAGGGCATCACACTTCTCAGCCTCCCCGGGAAAGTTTACTCTAGGGTGCTGGAAAGGAGGCTTCGGCCGGTTGTCGAACCTCGGATTCAGGAGGAGCAATGCGGATTCCGTCCTGGTCGTGGAACAGTGGACCAGTTCTTTACCCTTGCAGAGCTGCTGAGGGGGGCATGGGAATTCAACCTGCCAGTCCACATGTGCTTTGTGGATCTGGAGAAGGCCTATGACCATGTTCCCTGAGGATCTCTGTGGGGGGTACTGAGGGAGTATGGGGTACCAGGCTTGCTGCAACAAGCCATATGGTCCCTGTACAACCAAAGTGCGAGCTGCGTCTGCATTGTCGGCAATAAGTCGGACACGTTCCCAGTGGGTGTTGGACTCTGCCAGGGCTGCCCCTTGTCCCCGATCCTGTTTGGGGTTTTCATGGACAGGATCTCAAGGCGCAGTCAGGGTGAGGAGAGTGTCCGGTTTGGGGACCTCAGGATCTCGTCTCTGCTTTTTGCAGATGACGTGGTCCTGTTGGCTTCATCAGACCGTGACCTTCAGCACACACTGGAGTGGCTTGCAGCCGAGTGCGAAGCGGCAGGGATGCGGATCAGTACCTCCAAGCCTGAGGCCATGGTTCTCTGCCGGAAATCGGTGGATTGCCACCTCCGGGTGGAGGGGGGGGAGTTGCTTCCTCAAGCGAGCGAGTTTAAGTATCTCGGGAACTTGTTCACGAGTGATGGGAAAATGGAGTGCGAGATGGACAGGCGCTGTACCAGACCGTCGTGGTGAAAAGAGAGCTGAGTCACAAGGCGAAGCTCTCGATTTACCAGTCCATCTATGTCCCAACCCTCACCTATGGTCACGAGCTTTGGGTCGTGACCGAATAAACGAGATCGCGGATACAAGCGGCCGAAATGAACTTCTTCCGCAAGGTGGCTGGGCTCAGCCTTAGAGATAGGGTGAGGAGCTCGGACATCCGGAGGGAGTTTGGAGTAGAGCCGCTGCTCCTTCGCGTTCAAAGGAGCCAGTTGAGGTAATATGGACATCTGATTCGGATACCTCCGGTGAGGCTTCCTCTGGACGTTTTCTGAACACGTCCACCTGGGAGGAGACCCCGGGGCAGACCCAGAACCCGCTGGAGGGATTATATCTCTCGGCGTTCCCAGGCCAGCTGAGAGATATAATCCCTCCAGCGTGTTCTGGGAGGAGGCCCCGGGGCAGACCCAGAACCCACTGGAGGGATTATATCTCTTGGCTGGCCTGGGAACGCATCAGGATCACCCAGGCAGAGCTGGAAAGCTTCACCAGGGGGAGGGAAGTCTGGGACGACCTGTTCCGCCTACTGCCCCCGCGACCCAACCCCGGATAAGCGGAAGATAATGAAATAATGGATGGATGGACTTTCTCTCCACCAAACATATTTCTGCTAATTCTGGTCCAATACCTCAAGTTTCACCAAAGAGCAGGTCTACAATGAGTCAGAAGCTGCTGGAACACAGCTGTCAGTGTCCATAGTCCAGAGTGTTTGACACCAACATGAGTTGTGAGGCTGCTGTGAAAGAAGGAAGTCCTTTCTCCAGAACTAGCACCTGAAGGGTTGACTTAGGTTTGCTGCAGATCACATGGACAAAGAAAAGGTCTTCTGGAGGAACGTTCTGTGGTCAGATGAAATAAAAACTGAGCTACTTATCCACAATGGGCAGAAATATGTTTGGAGGAGAGAAGGTGAGGCCTTTAATCCCAAGAACACCAAACCTACTATCAAGCATGGCGGTGGCAGCGTAATGCTCTGGAGCTCTACCCAAAGTAAATGGAATAACAAAGGAGGAGGATCACCTCCACATTCTTCAGAAAAACCTAAAACCATCAGCAGAAGGTTGATCTTGGACACAGTTGGATGTTCCAACCAGACAATGAGCCCAAACACACATCAAAGTGATAAAGAAATGGTTCCATCAGGCTGGAATGAAGATTCTAGACTGGTCTCCCCAAAGTCCTGACTGAAACCATCCAGAACCTGTGGACTGATGAAGAAACAAGTCTGACTCAAAGACAACAAATTTAGTTGAGGGGTTAGCAAAGTAGTTAAAGATAAACCAGAAGCTTGTGGACGGAAACCAAAAACACCTGTTGAGGTGAAAATAGCCAAAGGACATTTAACCAAATATTAGCATTGCTGTATGTCTATTTATGACCCAGCAGATTCTGTCATAGTTCTAGAAGTTCTGTAATAAATCTATGAAAGAACCAAATAAATGTTTGTTGTTGTGACAAAGACACGTCTTTCAATGATTCCATCACAGAATATTGAGATCTGTAGAAGTCCTTGGAAACCCAAGACTGCCATGAAACACGTGGTCTTTACAAATGCATGGAAGCGTTTGTTCACAACTGTATTTGCAACACAGAACAGCATCATGCAGGAGGCTTGTCTCTACAAATCAGTTGTTGTGAAATCTCTATTTTGTTTAATTGAGAAAATGCTTTTTGGGAAATGTAACACTGTCAGTGCTGTATGTTATTGCCAGCAGCATCACAAACCCTGAATTTACAGTCACCACAGACATAAGAACAAGAAGCAGGAACCACCTGAATAAATAAACACTCCTTCAGATTGCTAAACGTGCCCTTGGCTTTTATTAACAACCGCATGATTAAAATACCATCATATGACAAAGACCAAACGGCTGCAGAGACTCAACAGCAATCCTGATCACATGCCTCAATTCATTCAGTAAATAAAATAATATTATCTGCGGACACCAACAGTAGCATGAGGAGGATACAGTAACAGTCAGAACAGGAATCATAGTTAGTTTTGGCTTAGCACTGTCTCACAGATATCCTAAATCTGAGAACAGGAATGAAAAATTAATCAAACAAAGTCAATGGATGAGTTGTAAACAACCAGTGCACACACAGAAAACTGTCATTTTTAGACGGAAGAACATGTGATTGAACTTCCAATAAGTTGCAAAAAAGAAAAGAAACTTCTATTACATGATCAAATGGACACAAACCAAGACGTCCATGCTGTTTCTTTCCCTATCACAAGTAAGGAGCATTTGAATTCTCCAAATTGTAAGAAACTGAGTTGAAGACATCTTGCAGCTGAAGAAAGACAAACCAGAGTTCTTTCCAGGTTCCCTACAGTTTTTGTATTTAAAGGCACCTTGAAAAAATAAAACGGGGACAAAATGTGAGGTATAGAAGAAATAACCTTAGCTTTGAAAGAGGTATTTAAAAGATTTTAAGGATGAAGTCCCTCAAATTTCTACACATATCTGTTACATGCACTCTGGAGAGGAAATATGATCTCTATTCACAACTTATAGTTAAATTAAGACACACTTTATGACATCCGACCACCTTGCATAGCCTGGCATAGTAACATCCCACCACTACCTTGAATAAAACATTAAAAGACAATATTTCGACGTGTTTAGCTTTAGCTCACTGTTTTATGAACATAAAAGGAAAATGTTTGGGCTCAACGGACGGAAATAAAACTAACCTCCACATATGTTGCAGTCTGATTTCATGTAGTCAGGATAAATTAACTGGAATTTTTTAAAATTTGAGCAAAACACTCACATGTCAAGTGCTCCAAAGGCGTCAGGCTAAAACGGTCAAAAAACGTCCTACTAAACAACAAAACGGTTCCACGTCAGCCGCAGTGGTGGTGAGCAGGGACCACCTCACTAAAAGAAAGGCTTTTATTTTAAAAATCCTGAGTTAAACAACATTGTCAGTCACACAGACGATGCATGACCTCGAACCCCGGCAACGGAGGTCGTCTCTTCGGTGAGCTTTTCTTTGTCGCATTTCAACAGCGACTCTGTGCTTGAGGTGGAGCTGGAGGCGGAAGAGTCTGGAGCAAAACCACAATCGGTAGTTTTACCGCAAGCTGCTGCTGCTGCTGCTGCTGCTGGTAAACCAAGCTCCTCATTTCATTTCTCAAAGTCAACTTCAGAAGCGCCTTTCTTTTCTTTTATCCTCCTCTGAGGCACTTGAACTCCACAAAGGTCTCCTCAAACTGCGACCAGACTGATGTCGGTGTTTCCGCAGAAAAAACACCAAGACAAACCGCCTCGCTCCGTGCACTCCTAAGTATTTACAAGCTCTCCAGTTGCAGTTTTGCTCCGTCTCCCGCTCAGCCGCCCTCAGATGTTTTCGGCCTCTCTGTGGGGAACCTCCCTGATGCTGTCCTGGGGTCCACCACGGGCCGCCGGGCGCCGTCGAATGCTCCGGCCGGACGAGATGAGGTCGGCGTAGCCACGAGAGTGGGAGAAGGCGTAGGCGGACCGCCGGGAACGCCTGCCTCGCTGGAAGGCCGACGGCTTCTTCTTCTCCTCCTCCTCCAGCTCCATCTCGTACTTCTTCCTGTTTCTCTGGACCTGGAGGACGATGGGAAATAAATAGGTAACATTGCAGAAACAGTTATGCCACGTTGTTCCCTCTGAAATGCTGCCTATTCGATATTTTATCATGTTTTGAGCATAATCTGCCTCCTGATACAAGCAGTTGTTCAGCTATGAAGAAATGAACCAGCCTTCACCCAAATAACCTTAATAACTAGTCTAAGATCTTGGGGGGGAAAAAAAGTTTTTCTTTGCTGAGGTCTCATGGTATTTGAATCCATGTTCAATCAAATCTGGTTTTGAAGCTTTCCATAGTCCAGACTCTGCTTTGAGGAAGGTTCAAAACAACACCTGCTTGTTTGGCAGTGCAGCATTTGAAACCGCTGACCAAGAAATTCTTTAAAAACACCTGGAAAGTGAAGTTGTATTCCAGGGTACAGTATTAAACATTTGAAATTGAAAAATGGCATCCCCCAGGGTTCTGCTTCAGGGCCTCTTTTACTTTCACTTTACACGCTCCCCTTGGGCTACTTTTTTTTTTTTTTATTCCATTATATTGTTTGTTTCCAATATGCAGTTTTACCTGCCAGTTACTCCTAAACTGTCTTTGGGTGTTTTAACTGTAGCATTTAAATTACTCTATACGTACTGGTCATAAATAACACTGTAGGATCTTAACCTCAACATTTAAACTTGTTGGGTAAATCTGTAACGCCAGCATAGCTTCTCCCAAGTGTCTTATTTCACCAAAAAAGCTCCTTCACCAACACTTCCCTGAGAGAATCCACGCTGAGCGAACTCCCAGAGGTCTCACCTTGTCTCCTACAGAGGGCCAGATGGTTTTATGCAGGAACTGGATGCAGATGACCGGCAGCAGGCTGATGCCCACCGTCAGGATGATGGTTAACCACAGGTAGGGCTGCCGCAGAGCGTTTGATGCTGCACCTGCAAACACAGAATAAGCACATGTTGTTAGAAGAGTGAAGATACTGTTTTTTTCCCCCCTTTCTTTTGTTTTTCCTTTTTACATCACAAGTCTTTTAATACTTGGATATGAAGTTCTCTTGGTTGGATTACTGGTCGACATGCAGAGACAGTTGTCCATATTTTGGATTTTTTTAAATTTACTTTTATGGATCAGACTTACAGATTTGTCTCAGATTGTATAAAAGACGGAAGCAGCAAATGTGACGTCACCCATTAGATTGTGGACAACTTTTCTAAAGCTTCAAGTTTTACCGTCACCATCTTATTCTTCGCAAACCAGACAGTGGCAAGCAAGACAGATTGGGATCTGTTAATTACAAGGTTGCCCTGCCTTAAAACATACTCTGCTTTATCATCTATTTTACTATTAATGGGACCATAATTTTAAAAACAAATACTACTATGTTGTGTTTAAAAAGCCTTGAAACTAGCCATTGAGACCATAAACCTGTTAGGAAAATGTTTACTGCAGCAACAAATTCAGTGAGAAGTCACTTTATCATAGACTTCTACACAATCTAACGTTTTATTGTTTGTTTGTTTTTAAAACCAGAGGAGTCGCCTCTTGCTGGCTGTTAGAAAGAATGCAGGTTTAAGGCACTTTAGCTTCACTTTATAGAGACCAAAGCTACATCCATCTTTTATATACAGTTCATGATTTGTTTCAAAGGGCTACACAGTCGTAGAGCTAGAAGCCCTGGCACACGGTTCACCATTTATCACGCAGATTACAGGGTCACATGCTTTCTTGTACAGGGAATTATCACAGACCTTCAGAGTCATAGATTTATGATCTTCCTATTACTTTTATTACAATAAAAGCTATGAAAACAGCTGTGCACTACCTGTCCAGCACCAACATGTAGACTGACAAAGCTGTGACTAGCCATTCAACTCAAAAGAGAATGAAGGTGTTGGGTTTACAGCCTGTTTGTGCTGCCCCTAAGTGGGTAAAAAATATTAGTTATTGCAGCTTTAACAGGGAACTCCAACCTGCAGGTGCTCTGAAGTATAAACTATAAAGTTGGCAGGTTAAGTGCATCGCAAGGTGTTGAATGGTTGCTGACTGACCGGTGAAAGTGAAAATAGAAGGGAAGATGACGTGGATTCCAGCGCTGTGGATGTCAAACATGATGCCAAAGTAGATGGCTATGCTGCCCAACACTGCAAAACAGTTGACGAAGGTCCAGTAGGAGGTATCCAGAGAGATCTGACAAACAAGAGTTGAAGGAGATAACACAAGATAAGCGGGTCATATAATACAGGCTTGAGATATCAAATCATTCCACACCTCGACAGCATCACGTACGCTTGACTTGGGTTCCTGAATCATTCATCTGTGACTGACCTGCAGGTTGACGGTGAAAATCAAGGACGAGGCGGTTACGACGGCGAAGGACTGGTAGTCGGAGGGAGCTTCTCCGTCCTGCCCCATGGTCTGCAGGAACGCTCCGTAGGGGATGAAGAAGATGATGAGCGAGACGAAGATGCCGTGGAACAAGCTGATGAAGAAGTTCCTGTAGTTGAAGAGCGACCCCTGCTGGCCGGGCTGGTAGAGTTTGGGGAACTTCAGGCTCAGTCTGTCGTTAACGTCCTGCAGAGAGATAAGGAGGCAGAAATCAGAGTTCTGGATTAGCAAAGGGGGAATCGAACAGAGTTAGAAATCGGTTCTCAGAGTTCCTTTTTGGATCCAGTTGGTGAAATACTCAGAAACCTTCATCTTCTCCTGGTTATGTTTATTATTACACAGTGATTGATTAGTTTTTCCATTTATACCCAACTTGCAACTATTATCTCAGTAGGAGTTATTTTTATCTGTAAAACAACCATGTTGCATGTTTTTAGGATTATTTCAACAATCCCAAAAGGTCAAAGTCTCAGCTGAAATCTTGTAAATTAACTTTCAGATCAGTCTTGACTTTGCCATGAATTTACTTGAGAACACACCAACTACCATGTACCTGCCTTCTTTGATGT